CACACACATTCACACAGCCAAACCTCTGTGTCTTTAGCCAAACTCTTCTCTCACAAACACAAACAACCACAAAGCCAAAAGCTTAACCTCTGTGACTGATGCACTCTCAGTTTCTGTCTCCCACGCACACATTATGCCCCATCATATTGCGACAATATGGAATAGCGTGTGTGCTACAAAAACTCAAATTATATACTCTAATTATATACAAATTAGTATACTGTAAAACATTCTATTTTTCATAGATAGCAGTGTAACATGATATACAGGTGCAGCTTATTAAAGAGCCCAGTGGAACATTTTGTTCAAATGTTTACTCAAATGTTTTATGGTACAGAAGATAATGAAGTTCTATGTTATGCTTCACTGGAGTATAAGATTTGTTTCAGATGTACATTACCGTTCAAAGATTTGGGGTTGGAAAGATTTTTTTAAAATTTATTTTTAAAAATATTTTTAAGTTGAAATATTATTACAATTTAAAACAAATATTTTCTATTTTAATATATTTTAAAATGTAATTTAATCTTGTGATGCAAAGCAGAATTTTCAGCAGCCATTACTTCAATCTTTAGTGTCACATGCTCCTTCAGAAATCATTCTAATATGCTGATTTGCTCCTCAAACATTTCTTATTATTGTCAATGATGAAAACAGTCGTGCTGCTTAAATATATTTCTGTGGAAGCTGTGATAATTTTTTTCCAGGATTCTTTGTTGAATAAAAATTTCAAAAGAACAGCATTCATGTAATATTGTTAATGTCACTTTTGAACAATGTGATGCATCTTTGCAAAATATTATTATTATTATTATTATTAAATCTCACAACTTCAATTTTTTGAAGAATAGTGTATTTTTTCTCATAAAGAGACATAAAATTAGACACAATTTTTGACTAGCATTTATTTGGCTTTGGAAGAATATAAGACAATCTCATATGAGTTATTGTTGAAATCTATTTACTTTCCTTTCCTGAAATTCTAGAAGAGACACACTTGAGATTACAGTGGCCTTTTTCTCAGGGGGGAAAAAAATCATAGAAGCAAGAGACTTAAGTAACAGCTCCATTTATTCACCATTTAAACTCACTTAAGAGAAACAAAGATATTAAAGAGATCTCATTTGTGATTTTTTCCCCCTTCTTATAAGAGACCTTCATCCACAGGTTAGCAAGGCTTTAATTGAAAGCGTTGCTCAATAGATAATACACAATGACAGTGAGAATCACTCTTAAACTAAGCTTAATGATAACTACTTAGAACAATGGCTCGCTATTTGTCAGGGAAACTGCGACAAACCTTGAGACAACCCTTTAGCTGCTTTCTCACACTCATAATAGGGCTAATTACACTGTTTCTCAGCCAAAGAAGCTAAATATTCAACTAAAATTGATTCTGTGCAGCTTATTTGGAGCAACCTATTGTATAGCTACATTACTTATGAAACCTCAAAAGTGAGTAGGTGAAACTCAATTCAGTGGGTTTCTAGAAACCCTTCAGGCAGTTGTGTGGATAAAATGATGCTCTACAATGTTCTGAAATGTTCTTCATGAGCTACTTTCTTAAGCAACTGATTTAAATGCTGATATCGTTCTTAAATATGAAGTTAATCAATCTTCATCAAACAAATCAAATGAAGCCATTAGTGTAAATGCGGGCTTGGGTAATTGGTATACAGTGGCAAACATAAGCCAGCAGTGCTTGGCAATTCAACATGAAATCTGCCGTAATCTGATTGGTTCCACTGTGTCGATAAGACAATGCAGCAAACAGGCTTATATTCCCACCCATGTTATTGAGCCTCTAGTCCCACCCTCATACAGTCAAATGAGTCAGTGTACAGTTCTCATAGAAAGCAATGGGTTTCGTTGAATTATGATGACTTTGGGCCAAAATACTGTATATAGTAGAGTTTATTGGTAGAACTGATTAAAAAAAATAATTCCTGTAGCTCAAACAGCAGAGCATGGTTTAGAAATAATACGCCTTTCATAGCGTACTAGTATTGAAAAAAAAGGATTTCATAGGGCCCTACAGAGGTCATGGGTTCAATTCCCAGGGAATGCATGAGCTGAAAAAAGTATACCTTAAATGCACTGTAAGTCGCTTCAGATAATAGTAGCTGCAAAAAGTATAAAAATAAATGCGATGTCACCAGTGAAAGTTCATAAGGCTGTTTATTATTCTATACTGACTGAATATGATTAAATGGTTAGTTGCATTTTTTAATTTCCATTCATGATTGTTTTCCCCTGCTGTTTATAATCAGAACAGACCTGTAACCCATTTCTGGGGCACTACGCACCAGTTGAGAAACCAATTATATAATGTATCTGTAACTGCACAATGTTTTGTCTCTCTAGCGTCCAGGAGAGCTGCGTTCGATGTATGAGTTAGACCTGAGGAGATCCCCAGTCTTAATTGAAAGGCAGAATTTCCGAGAAATGTGAGGAGTGGAGTTAGTAAACGATGGTGGGGAATTATGGGTCAATAAAACAGCTTTCCACTGAGACTTCCAGCAAGGGTCAAGGGCACTACATTGATTGGCTCAACATAAAGCTGAGTAGAGTGTGTGTGTGTGCGTCTCTTTACGTGCCTCCAGAGATGCACACAGAGAAAAGTGCACAACAGTGGAACGTACAAAGACCATATTAAAGATTCAAAGAACTTCTAGGAATGACTGTAAGCATTATCATCAAATTATCACGCATTATGCTCCAGATACAACATAGAATCATTTGAAAATTATACTTTATATTGAATACTTAAGGAATAAAAAGAAGAATGTAATGTACAGTATGTGTGGTCATTTTTTAAAGGGGTCATGAAATGCAGTTTCAGATTTTTCTATTATGTTTCTCAAGGTTAATTTATAAAGTTTGCAAATTTGTTGCACCAAAGAAGGTCCAATTTTTGTAAAAATTATAATTTTTCCTCATTTTCATTCTGTGAAACATAATTTTCAGGGGCGTTACCTCTTGCAGAATCGGAAGTAAACGCCCATTGCTATGATTGGCTAACTTCATCATGCCGTATCTATGCCCTCCTTTACTGCATGTTGTGTTTGATTCTCAAGATGAAAAGTGCTGTGATAGAGCCGTGTGTTTAAACACGAGGCCGAAGAAATTAAAAGATGACAACAGTAAAACACTAGCTACACATTGTGTGAAGGGTTAATATAGCAATGGTAAAACAAACTATAGATATTCAATTCAAGCAAGTATTTCTTGGTCCAGGTATATAACAGTATTATTAGCAACACTCAAACAATGATACACTTGGAGTCTTAAACACTGACATTTATTACAAACACAATGCGAGATTAAAAATAAATGTACTTACCTATGTTGCTTCCAAGGACAAAATGCTTGGCACTTCCGTTTCTTTCAATAAAAGGTATTGTGTAAAGCATGATTAGAATAATTCACAAAAACAGCCCATTGTGAAATATGAAGAACGAACAAAAATCTTTCAGTGACTCCGGCACGTCATTAAAAATGCAGTAGAAATGCATGGCATTTCTATGCCAGAAATGCCATGAATTTCTAATGCTCAGATCTTTATGAAATCTAGGCAAAGATTTTGGAGGTGGTTTACATCCACTGACAGAACAATGTCTTAATCTAACAGCAGTATTGTTCAGAACACACCTCCTTGATTACATACGACGATGATGTATGTTAAGGAGAATCATGACGTCATAATGCTCCCTATTTCAAATCCGGACGTTTCATGATGGTAGAAAAGAATAATTCATATTTTAAACTGGGGAGATGGATTTGAGTTGTGAAGCTTGCGGTATGTTTTTGTTGTGGAGTACCCTCTTATATGTGTAATTGTCAAAAACATTTTGATTCTCCATTCATGACTATTTTATATATATAAAAAAAAAATCAGTTTCCAGATCAGGCTTGCCGTCCCGCAAAACCTTTCAAGTGTCAGAACCATGTCAGGCATCGGCTCGCAGACAAAACAGATGATTTGTTCTATTAATGTTCATTTGTCGCTTGCTACATTTGACACCTGACACCCATAAAGTCTGATTCATCACCCTCTCTCCTCTCTGTTACGATTCCACTTCCCCCCAGTGAAAAATGAAACCATCAGTTAATTACTCTGTTCATTTAACGCGCTCTCTCGCTCCCGTTCTCTCTCTGTTCACATTGTCTTGATTAAGGCAGACACCGGAGCATATAAATGTGCTTCTCATAAGGCAGTTCTCCTAACAGCTGTCAGTCATTGCTCCAGTAAACACTGAAGGGACAATGTGGGACTCGTTTGGATGGCTAGACTTTCCGTTCATTTCTCCTTTCGGTTTTGGGCAGCCTCAATGGGACTTTATGATTTTGTTTGAGACTTTGAATGTGCTGATTTGCTAGTGTGAGATTAGGTTGGGGAGATGGAGTCACACCTATAGATGAAGCCATAAAACACATGCCATAAAGTTTTCCATGGGGTGTAATAAAAGGTGTTGTTTCTTATTAAATTTGTAAGTATATTTTTATATTTTCTGAAGAAAATGTGAGTGGTGCTTTCCAATGCAAAACTTGATACTATGGTTGCAGGGTTAAAACTGCAGCTTGGGGCCCTGATATACACGACAAGTTATTTTTCATTATAACTTGATTCTGTCACACCTGTTCATTCTTCAATTTTGAGTATACCGGAGCCTTAACTAAAGTTTAAGTGTCAATTTAGTATAATTGAGATACTATTGTAGTTGTTATTAATATTTTGAGTTTTTAATCTTAATATGTTTCAAGTTTTAGTCATTTTAGATTTTTTTTATATCTGAATTTTTATTTACATTTTTCTATCTATCTATCTATCTATCTATCTATCTATCTATGTATCTATCTATCTATAGTCTGTCTGTCTGTCTGTCTGTCTAAGAGAGATCATTGTGAAATCAGATCAAACAAAGGTCATTTACAGATAATCTTCACTGATGTAATACCTACTGTCACCTATCATGTTTTAATCCCATGTCTCTCCGCAGCCCCTCAGAAGAGTGACATTTTCTGTGGTGAGTCAGGCTCCTGATCAAGGCTGCTATGATAGTGGAGTGGAGGACTCTGAGACCCCAAGCAGCAAGAGTTTTCTATCTATCTATCTATCTATCTATCTATCTATCTATCTATCTATCTATCTATCTATGTATCTATCTATCTATAGTCTGTCTGTCTGTCTGTCTGTCTAAGAGAGATCATTGTGAAATCAGATCAAACAAAGGTCATTTACAGATAATCTTCACTGATGTAATACCTACTGTCACCTATCATGTTTTAATCCCATGTCTCTCCGCAGCCCCTCAGAAGAGTGACATTTTCTGTGGTGAGTCAGGCTCCTGATCAAGGCTGCTATGATAGTGGAGTGGAGGACTCTGAGACCCCAAGCAGCAAGAGTTCCTCTGGACCCAGACTGGGATCTTTACCGCTGCCTGAGGATGGATATGAAAGGACAACACCAGAAGGGAGCGTAGGCGAAGAGGAGCATGTGGAAAATGGTAAAAAGCCATCTGTGAGAAAGGTCTGAGACCACTAGTGAAAAATGAAGCGCATATGTTGTTTTTTGTTCTTCTTTTGCTTTAAAGGGATAGATCACCCAAAAATCAAAAACTCAAAAGAAGATATATTGAAGAATGTTGGTAGCTAAACAGTTTTGGTTAACTTTAACTTCCACTGTATAGACAAAACACACAAAGACAATTCTCAGAATAGCTTATTTTATGTTCCACATAACAAAGACAGTCATAAAGTTTTGGAATATTATGAGGGTGAGTAAAATATGACAAAAATTGCATTTTTGTCTGAACTATACCTTTAATGACAGCAACACTAGAGTTGCATGAATATTAGTCACGCATATATGGTATTATATTATTTTATCATGATGGAAATTCAAAACTCCAACATTAAAACACTAAAATCATGCAGTAAACATAAATTAAACAACATAAGATGTAAAATAAATGTACATAACTGATAATGTAAAACTAAAAGGGAACATAAACTTTGTTCAAATAAAATACTAGGGATGCACCACCAATACCACTTTTTCCAGAACTGACCAATACCGATACTTTTATTTTTTGTACTTTCTGAGTACCGATACCTGTATTTTACTGGTTTACAGGTAAACATACTGGGTACAGAAACTAAAAGAATATGTATGTGAGTTGGCTTAGTTCATTTAGTAAATAGATACTTCCTTCAGTTATTTTCACACTTAAGTATGTCACATTAAAATGTATTCTAGAAGCTTTTGTTTCTTTCACTATTCTTCTTCTTCTTCTTTTTTTGCTCTATGGTACTTTATAAAAAAAGAATATGTATGTGAGTTGGCTTAGTTCATTTAGTAAATAGATACTTCCTTCAGTTATTTTCACACTTAAGTATGTCCATTAAAATGTATTCTAGAAGCTTTTGTTTCTTTCACTATTCTTCTTCTTCTTTTTTTGCTCTATGGTACTTTATAATTAAGTTAATAGCACATTAGAGCTGCTCCATTGCAGTGGCTTAGTACTGTAATCATGAGTACAGGTGCGCAGTATCGGGCCCTATGAAATACCATTAAATGTCTCCGGGAATTGTGAGAATATCAGTTTACATTTTATTATATAATGACTTGTGTTTTTACTTATAAAATCTGTGCATTTAACAATGTTTACTGTAAAATTAGTTAAAATGTCCCATTAGATCTACTACAGTTTTTCACGGTATATAGTAAAGGACCTTGCAATTAAACAGTTTTTTACTGTGGCATTTTACAGTATTTTTATAGTGTAGAGTGATGTTCAAAAGACCACTAATGACAATTGTTTTATTTATTTTTTTCTTATTTTATACCATGTTCTTGTTATTATGAATTATATTTTCAGCAATTGAAAGATTAACATTTAAACATTTTCTTAGAATTTGGATTGTTCTCGTTTTGGTTTGTCCTTCTCCTTTGTAGTATATTACAGCAGTACTCAAACTGACATGAACCTGGTCCCAGACCTTTGGACGCCACTGTAGACAGACAGAGTCATTTATTCTCCAGGGACATCATGAGTGTCTAAAACTCGACAGTCTGAGCAAAAAAATTTGACCTATGACCTACGCATATTTCAGTAGAGACAGTTCCCTGACAGGATATCCTAAAACTGCCTCTTTTTCTGTTCCTCAGACCCCAGGCAGCTCCCTGACGTGGCTCTGACAGGAAAGTGCACACGAGAATGTGATGAGTTTGGTCACTCTGACACCTGCTGGATGCCTGTGCAACCATCACCACGCAGACGCATGGAACCACCCCAACTGTCCACCTTCGCCTCGCCCGGCGATAACAACAACAACACGGAGGACGACAGCGACCGAGAGGAAGACGGAGATGGAGGTACGGATAAGAGCAGCGGAGGAAGCGAGGAGGTCCGGGATTCGCTTGCAAATGGAGATCCGCTCGGAACGCTCAGCCGTCGGGACCGGAACAGGAACATGGGCGACCACAACCGTAATCTCCTGAACCGGAAAATGACCTCGGCATCCTATGACACGTTCAGCAGCGCCGGCTTTGGCCGTCGTCCGGATGAAGAAGACTCACACCCCCCAGAGGTCATTCCGCTTACGAGGACGGGGGGCGACTATAAGACCACCTCGTGCCTCACTCTGTCTCGCAGGGAAGTGTACCTGTGAGCTGCAGGCTGCCCTCTTGCCACGGGACGGCCCAGAGCAACTTCACTGCATCGAGCAGGAGGATCATCGAGAGACTAGCGCATACCTGTTCAAAACAGGTGTCTTCTCCTTGCCAAAAATGTATCATCTGTTCATTTCTCTAGATGCAAAATATCAAAGTTGAGGAGAAAAGTGAATCATCTTTTATTCTTTCATAAACTTGGATAGACTTTGTCTATGACAAACATTTGCATGTTAGGCCTCCCACAGACAGGGGGCGATGTGGGGACTGATGGACAAAATCCAATCAGAGACCACTTAAATGGATGCTCATTTCATCCAGTTGTGGCACTTCATGAAAATAAAACCATGTAGCATCAGGAAAAAGGAAATCGTAACCAATCATAGGGCGACAGCGGCATCTAAATGTTAACTAGTTTCCTGTTGCTGAGCCAATACAGTTATTTAATTACAGTCACATGGTAAACAGTAGACATGTAAATTCTTTCATCACAGACTTTTAGAGAAAGAAAAAAAAAGGAAAAAAAGTCCGGTCATCCATTTTTATCATTTGTAAAGCTACTTGTTTTTCTTTTATTAACAAATATGTGAATATACTGCAGCTCTCAGTAGTGCTTCAAAACTTTCAGATTGAATTCTTCACTATTTCATTGCTTCTGTAATGGAGCAATTATCACAATGACTGTTAAATTGCCATCCCATCAGATCTCAGAGTTGAAATCAGCCAATTAAATCATGTGACACATACTCTATACACAGCACAAACACACACACCCACACACACACACACACTGATACATGTCTATATCCATTTAGTGCAGATATGTGTGTAAAAGTGTATGTACTGTATAGACGGACATTTTGGCATACCTGAGGCTTTTTTGAGAAACAGTTTTTTGAAAGTAGATGTAGCATTTTTGCCTGCTTGATCTTCAGCTAGTATATAAGACACTGGAGTGTATTTGAATAATTAATCATCTGTGTAAAGTGCATACACAGGGGCATTCAACAATGTTTAGATACATCTATACTATACTATAAACGACAAATATACTGCATCTCATCCCTTTTAAGTAGAGCTAATATTTAAACCAAATTTCTTTAAAGGCAACACTGCATGAGGATAAGCTAATGCTTATTTTGTTAAATAAGAATCAGATTTTTGTTGTTTTTGTGAGGATATAACCTCTTTATGAGGGGAGTGTGCGAGTTTGTGTGTGAATTCAAAGCGAGGTCGGTGAAGAGCTAGATCTTTAATTTAGCCGGAAATTACACACACACAACGTAGTTGTTCAAATACCTGTATTACAGTTCAAACAAATCAAGACATTTTAATGAGTCTTTGTTAATCTTACGGCAGCCTCGTCCAGGTCTTGGCATCTCATCAAGCCTCTGGAATTTTCAAATTGAGTTTAGTAATGGCTTTTTTTAGCTCTTGATATGCATTGTAAGTACAATCTGATTGATAAGAACAAACTGACATGTATTTCACCAACTCTCAGGAAACTTGAGATTCAGTGTATGTTCTCGGCCCATTATCAACGCTGAGCTAGTCTGTGCTCCGAATTTGTCCTCACAAGGCCATACTGTTGGAGAGCCTGTTTTCTCGCACTTTCCCCTTTTCAGACTCACCGTACCTGTCAATGGTGTCCGAAGTGTGCGTGTTTCCTGGCTTCCCACGGTGAGGATTGCAGACTCATCCCTTTCACTTCACGGAACAGCCTTGGGTCTGGAGCGGGACTGGTGGACTCCAGTCCATCTATGCCAAAATCTGTCTAGCTTTTCCAGTTTTACTGGAAGCACTGGTGCACAAACTTACCTGAAAAAGACTAGCCCAGAACCTGCAATTCAGTGCCTGGATGAGAGGAAATTGCTGAACTGGCCTATACAGGGTTTGTGAAACCGGAGGACTCGGGAGGAGGGAATCTGTCTCTAAAGATGCCGTGTTTCCTTTGCCAGGTTTATAGGCTAAATATGCTGTTATACAGCAGTCTGTAAGTAGTGTACAGTATGGGGTGCATAACGGACTACATATATGAAACCGTGTGTTTTCTTTTGGGTTTTTTTTACTGCACGTTTACCTAACAGTTCAACTCACTTACTGCAAAATGGGGAGGGATGGGGAGGGCAAAATAACATTGTGTCTAAAGCGTAACATTCACTTGAACTTTTTTATGAGATAAACACTGAACTCATGTACTCGCCCAACATCCACCATTTTACTGCTACCCTGTAGAGAAATGACCACTGAACTTTAACCTGAAAGGCATGTTGACGGTCTTTAATCCTGCACCTGTGAGGAAAATGTTTTTTATTTCTCTGTTCTTATGCTATGTGAAAGAGGAGTTTTTGAAGCTCTCTCTCATGGAGCGTTCATTGCATTTGTTATGACAAATAACAAATCAAAAGGGGTTGGAATGGTTTGAAAGTTTGGTATGTGACATGTAAAAGTTTGATTTTGACATTAAAACACCTTTAAACCGTGTTCTGCTTTCTTTTTCACTCTTGAACTTACAGTTTGATTTATTTTGCGCATATATTGATTGCATATTACTGAACAGTGATAAGGATGTTTCTTTTGCACTCCTGCGCCCTGCTGGTAAGAGAGAAAATTACATTCTTTATGCTGTACACTTCACATCTGCTGAGCGTCCTCTCATGTTAAATTAAAACACATTTGAAACTCTGTTTTTACACTTTCACTTCTTTGATTTAACATAATTCTGATTTGTTATATTAAACTTTTTATGACACAGATTAGTAATTAAAGGGCTAACCCACCCAAAAAATGAAAGTTACCCCATGATTTACTCAACCTCAAGCCATCCTAGGTGTATATGACTTTCTTTTTTCAGGCAAATACAATTAGAGTTATATTTAAAAAAAAAAATGTCCTGGTTCTTCTAAGCTTTATAATGGCAGTGAATGGCTGTTGATATTCAATAATCCAATAGAAGTCCAATAAAGTGCATCCGTCCATCATATATCTTTAACCGAAGGATGCATACATATATATTGTATTAATTATTTTTTTTTTTTTTTTTTTTTTTTTTTTTTTTTTGGTATCCCTAGGTTAAAGATTTTGTAAAGTTTTTAATGGAATGATATGCAGTGAGTCAGAATCTTAGTTAGCCAATCAGAAGGATTTCTGCCTATCAATCATTTTGCACAGTCGTAGCAGGTATATACAGTATGGGAAGCTGGAAGCTATGAACATGAAGTAGTTTTCATTAGTTTGGAAGGTGAAAAATGTTTATTGTCAGCAACAGCTTATATAGCCAAACGTCCTTAAAGAATAAGATGATAGAGTAAAATAAAGTGGCCATAAAAGAAGCAAGATAACAATGAACATAGGTAAAGCTTTTCATTGCTGAGGAAAGTGAGGAATGTAGGCCTACTTGAAAACGGATGCAGAGCTTGCTTTGCTTCTGCTTAACAGGGTTTTGGCCTACAAAAAATAGAATGTTGGTAACCAAACAGTTGATGGACTCCATTGACTTCTATAGTATGGGAAAAAATACTATTGAAGCCATTGGCTAAATGTTTGGTTATCAACATTCTTGTTCAACAGAAGAAAGCATACAGGTTTGGAACAACATAAGTAAATGATGACAATATTTACATTTTGGGATGAACTATCCCTTTAAGGTGCGGTCATATTTACCATGATTTGGAGAATTCTCACTGGCAAAATGCAGTCATTTCAATAGGAATCCAGCCAATAAGGAATTTTGTGTGAGGGCAAAAGTTTCCACGAGTTGGTAACACAGATTCACCATGCTGACCAACAGAAGCTGCTTGGTTTGAAAGCGACCGCTGTCAGCTGTGCTTCATACATCACTGCAGTATTGGTAACTGACAACTGACTTTTTTTGGCTGTGAAATTTCACTATTGTGACCACAACTTTACAACACTTTAACGATGTTATTTGCATATGTATTGCATAATAAATGTTTGTCCATGGTTAAGTTGCCAGATAAATACGCTAGTTGCAATTTGTTAAACATTTTAACTGCATCATTAAATACTGAAGCTAAACACAGCATGTGAAAGTTTCATCTGTACAAAGTGCATGTACTGTATATTTAATGGGCCAACCACTATTTATTTCAGTTTAGTTTATGATTAGATATCTGATGCCGACGACTAGTTGTTATGTCTGGACACTTTCACAATGTATCCATGGCATTGTATTTCAGGGTTTGCACTAAAAAAGTTTTTCTCTCAAAACTACATACAGATTTTTTTTTTATTTTTTTTTTATTATTATTATTTCTTACTGTTAATATTCATTTTGTGGAGTCTTTATTTTCAAATTTCCACAGACCCCCTAGCAGCCCCCCTAGAAGCCCAGTTAGAAATCCCATGGTCTTTAAAGTTATACCAAGGTACTGGCTGATGTAATAGAATATCTAACATTTTGAGGAACTCGCCTGAATTAAAATCGAGGAACTTGCCCCTGAAGGCAGTTTCAATGAGCCAGAGTTCTTTGAAGAACAGAGCTGCTCAGGGAGGATGATGTTTTTCAAGGATTTCTTCGTCCCAGTGGAATATAGAAATGCTGCTCTAGTTATGGAAACAGCTCACTTTTAAAATTGTTATACTTCACCATTTTCAGTGTCCCCTTCATTTCCAATAACTTTAGAACGTCAGGGATGTCCAAACATTTCTCACTCCAGTTAACATTTTGTTCGCTCTGTGGATAGTCTAAGCAATCTGGAAACATGCCTAAAGTAGAATGAATATCAAACCAAGCATGCATGTTTCCTAAATTCAAATGTATACATGTATTTGGTTATTTCTTCTTGGCTTAAAAATAGTACAGATGTCTACTGCTTGCTCATGCACTGTTAGATTTCCAGAGTTACATTGGATTTAGATCGGGCCCCATCATGGGCTTATGTTGTGTTGACACTTTGAGTGTCTTTGAGACTTGCATATTAAATCTAGCACTTTCTACAAGACACATGCTTGTGGCCCTGTACACATTTAAAGACATTTTACAGTTGTTTATTTTGTGCACACTGCACCATTTTGAGTAACTTATCACACATTACCAGATCATTCTCCTGTCAACTGTATTTATCTGTCTAGATATTTTGCTTTCCATTCCTGTTACTTTTAGTGCAGTGGTTCTCAAATCACAGGTAGACCCTAAATAAGTTAAGTTAGTAGAACTAAAGAAATAAAATAATTATAATTCACAAAAAGGGATGTCATGTTATATAATTGTCTAAAATAATTTACATATTGACCTCCATTTATACTCCTCTGCCAGTTTACATGAAAACCAATGTCTAGTTGCCCACTAACTGTGTTGACAGAGATTTTGTTGACCATGGTAGGTGTTCATTAATTGAAGGCCATATTATTATCTTGAAGTTTATTCAGGACTAAATACATGGCAAAACCATTGGGTTTAAATTAGGGAACACTATTACACAACTAGTTGCTTATTAGCATACATATTACTAGCAGATTTTAGCGTGGTATGGATATGATAATGTGAGTACTGATGAACTGAGTGAGTATTTACGTAAGACATACTGTTGCTGCACAAATAGCATATATAATAACCCGGAGCAGATCTATACAGGTGGAGCTGGGGAAGGTAGAGGGTTTCAGAGGAATTTTGAAAGCACGCTGCGAAATGCTGAATAAATGCTAACTAGCCATTTAAATGTAAAGCAGCAAGCTTATTGCCTGCGTATACACCATGAACTAATAAGCTTGTGCAAAGTATTTTAACGCAGTGAATATCATTAGTTTGTGTTAAAGTGCAGGTCATATGGTTTTTTACAGTGTCCTAATGTTGTGTTGGAGCCCTTTACAACAGGTTTAAATGCATTTAAGGTCAGAAAACACTGTAATTTCCCCAGAATTATACATAGTCAGTTTTCCATGATTTCGAAACGGTTCGTTCGATTCAGTTCTGAGCGAAATGTCTGTAAACCCCTCCCTTCCATAAGCCTACTCTGCTCTGATTGGTCAGCTGGCCAAGCCTGTTGTGATTGGCACAAAGATGAGCACTTGAGCAAGTTAGCAAGTGCTGCCATGTGTTGCCAAGTCCGCGGTTGTTTTTGATGTTGCGGGTTGTAGCGACCCCAATAACGTCATATTTAGGCACTGGAATGCGAATTAACCAGGGGAACCCCGACTGAAAGCGTGTATTTTACACCCCAGAACGCAATTTTTAAAGGGGGACCACCCTCGAAACACGATTGGGCTAGTTTTGAGTAGCAATTGGGCGGGTTTTGTTGTGACGACCTGGCAACCCTAGCATGCACCTTTACATAAAACAATAATATAGTGCTCCAATCAGCAAGCGAATCGTGCCCACAGCTAAAGTTTAGCTGCTAAACTGTAAACACGTAACAAAACAATAATGGTAGATACCTTAGCTGAGTGCTAACGTGACTAACTGATGAAACAATAC